CTTCCTGGATCCGCCCATGTATATGAAGAGTAAGATACCTAGTCTACTTCTTGTCTACAGGATGAAGAGTGCATTGTGAAGGTAACTGATACTATACCAGCTGTGACATCAGTGCAGCCTATACAGATTCTGTCTCACTTATGCATACTGAATTACGTAAATGTGCTTTGCCTTAAAACTTTACAAACCTCTGTGATGTGCAGAATTACAGTGTCAGTGGGACAAGGTTTGTGTTTCTGAAAAACTGTGGTTACATTGTAAGTTCCAGATTAGAATAAAATCTCTTAAATGATCGTATGTTCTGAAAGAAAATGTTTTGATAAATTGCTACGCATATACCATTATATCAGTTGACTGAGAAGTAGCGCCTCGTCGATAGTTCAAATGGATGTGGCTCCCTCAGCTTATGGCATACCGTAGGTCAGTAAAGCATTGCTAATGATAGATATAACGGTACCCATTGCACAATGGAGTGTTGCCAACGGATAGGGAGGGTGATTATAGCTTCCTCCGTCATTTCCACAAGGTATGTCGTGTGCTCGACAATAACATAGTGACGACTGTCTCCGCAATCGACACCTGTGACCTTGATTATCCAATTACTAAGACAGAGGTCGAAAACGCGGTTGCACGTGATAAACGTGGGAAGGCTGCAGGATATGACCTATTCCCAGCGGAGTCACTGAAGAATGCGAGTATGTTCCGAAATTGTATTTAGATTGTTTACATTACGGCTTGAAAACAGCGTTTCCCCTAAGACTTGGCGTAATAGTACATAGGAGGATCCAGAGCGCGTGTGCGTGCGTGCGTGCGTGCGTGCGTGCGTACGCCCACCCCCTCCCTTTTGTCCTGAAAGTTTATTAAATGACTACTGAAACTCTCGTTAAAGCGGATGAAAATGAACTGTGCATTATTTGTTTTTGATTTAGAGTGCAATTCATTGGGAAAGTTTTGAGTCAAAAGGAATATTTTTTTACTGACCATGTCCATCTTGGTTATCGGGGTATCTCTCAGCTTTCGGTACCTGGTAAGATGTATTCAGAGATACTGAATGCCAGGCTTAATAATTGGTTGGAAATCTTTAGTCTGTATGAGCAAGATGGTTTCCGTAGCACACAAGAGCACATTTATAGTGTATTTCCCTGTTATTAACAATAGATAACTGTCAAATCAGTCAGCCTTATTTTGCTACATTGATGCCATGAAAGCATTTGACAAAGTAAACCGTAACTGATTTTGGTACATATTAATAAAACTTGGCATCAATGGTAAGCTTCTTCATGCAGTTCAATCTATGCATGAAAACATTTAGTCATGAGTTCGCATTAACAACTGTAATGCTGAGCGAGGACGATTTTATGGGTATAGAACTTCTTCATTCTGTACAGGCGAGGTTTCGACATCGATTCTAATCTCGTGGTCTGGCAAGTTGCTTTACTGTCACTGACGGGGTCTTAACGTAGTACCCCGTCAGTGACAGTATATTCCTTGTTGGCAGTTTTTATAGTACTAGGAGCCCATCAGTGACAGTATATACCCCGATGGCAGTTTTTATAGTACTAGGACCCCATCAGTGACTGTATATACCCTGATGGCAGTTTTTTTATAGTACTAGGAGCCCATCAGTGACAGTATATACCCCGATGGCAGTTTTTATAGTACTAGGACCCCGTCAGTGACAGTATATTACCTTGTTGGCAGTTTTTATAGTACTAGGAGCCCATCAGTGACAGTATATACCTTGTTGGCAGTTTTTATAGTACTAGGACCCCATCAGTGACAGTATATACCTCTGATGGCAGTTTTTATAGTACTAGGACCCCGTCAGTGACAGTATATACCTTGTTGGCAGTTTTTATAGTACTAGGACCCCGTCAGTGACAGTATATACCTTGTTGGCAGTTTTTATAGTACTAGGACCCCGTCAGTGACAGTATATACCTTGTTGGCAGTTTTTATAGTACTAGGACCCCATCAGTGACAGTATATACCTTGTTGGCAGTTTTTATAGTACTAGGACCCCATCAGTGACAGTATATACCTTGTTGGCAGTTTTTATAGTACTAGGACCCCATCAGTGACAGTATATACCTTGTTGGCAGTTTTATAGTACTAGGACCCCCGTCAGTGACAGTATATACCTTGTTGGCAGTTTTATAGTACTAGGAGCCCATCAGTGACAGTATATACCTTGTTGGCAGTTTTTATAGTACTAGGACCCCGTCAGTGACAGTATATTCCTTGTTGGCAGTTTTTATAGTACTAGGAGCCCGTCAGTGACAGTATATACCTTGTTGGCAGTTTTTATAGTACTAGGACCCCATCAGTGACAGTATATACCCTGATGGCAGTTTTATAGTACTAGGACCCTGTCGTCAGTGACAGTATATTCCTTGTTGGCAGTTTTATAGTACTAGGAGCCCATCAGTGACAGTATATACCTCGATGGCAGTTTTATAGTACTAGGACCCCATCAGTGACAGTATATTCTCTTTGTTGGCAGTTTTATAGTACTAGGAGCCCATCAGTGACAGTATATACCTTGTTGGCAGTTTTATAGTACTAGGACCCCATCAGTGACAGTATATACCCCTGATGGCAGTTTTATAGTACTAGGACCCCGTCAGTGACAGTATATTCCTTTGTTGGCAGTTTTATAGTACTAGGAGCCCATCAGTGACAATACAGTATATACCTTGTTGGCAGTTTTTATAGTACTAGGACCCCATCAGTGACAGTATATACCCTGATGGCAGTTTTTATAGTACTAGGACCCCGTCAGTGACAGTATATACCTTGTTGGCAGTTTTTATAGTACTAGGAGCCCATCAGTGACAGTATATACCTTGTTGGCAGTTTTTATAGTACTAGGACCCCATCAGTGACAGTATATACCTTGTTGGCAGTTTTTATAGTACTAGGACCCCATCAGTGACAGTATATACCCTGATGGCAGTTTTTATAGTACTAGGACCCCGTCAGTGACAGTATATACCTTGTTGGCAGTTTTTATAGTACTAGGAGCCCATCAGTGACAGTATATACCTTGTTGGCAGTTTTTATAGTACTAGGACCCCGTCAGTGACAGTATATACCTTGTTGGCAGTTTTTATAGTACTAGGAGCCCATCAGTGACAGTATATACCTTGTTGGCAGTTTTTATAGTACTAGGACCCCGTCAGTGACAGTATATACCTTGTTGGCAGTTTTTATAGTACTAGGACCCCGTCAGTGACAGTATATTCCTTGATGGCAGTTTTTATAGTACTAGGACCCCGTCAGTGACAGTATATACCTCGATGGCAGTTTTTATAGTACTAGGACCCCATCAATGACAGTATATGCCTTGATGGCAGTTTTATAGTACTAGGACCCCATCAGTGACAGTATATACCCCTGATGGCAGTTTTTATAGTACTAGGACCCCGTCAGTGACAGTATATACCTCGATGGCAGTTTTTATAGTACTAGGACCCCATCAATGACAGTATATGCCTTGATGGCAGTTTTTATAGTACTAGGACCCCGTCAGTGACAGTATATACCTTGATGGCAGTTTTTATAGTACTAGGACCCCGTCAATGACAATATATACCTTGATGGCAGTTTTTATAGTACTAGGACCCCATCAATGACAGTATATACCCTGATGGCAGTTTTATAGTACTAGGACCCCGTCAGTGACAGTATGTATACCCTGATGGCAGTTTTATAGTACTAGGACCCCATCAGTGACAGTATATAAACTAATGGCAGTTTTTATAGTACTAGGACCCCGTCAGTGACAGCATATACCCTGATGGCAGTTTTATAGTACTAGGACCCCATCAGTGACAGTATATACCCTGATGGCAGTTTTATAGTACTAGGACCCCGTCAGTGACAGTATATACCCTGATGGCAGTTTTTATAGTACTAGGACCCCATCAGTGACAGTATATACCCTGATGGCAGTTTTTATAGTACTAGGACCCCGTCAGTAACAGTATATACCCTGATGGCAGTTTTATAGTACTAGGACCCCATCAGTGACAGTATATACCCTGATGGCAGTTTTTATAGTACTAGGACCCCATCAGTGACAGTATATACCTTGATGGCAGTTTTATAGTACTAGGACCCCGTCAGTGACAGTATATACCCTGATGGCAGTTTTTATAGTACTAGGACCCCGTCAGTGACAGTACATACCTCGATGGCAGTTTTTATAGTACTAGGAGCCCATCAGTGACAGTATATACCCCTATGGCAGTTTTTATAGTACTAGGACCCCGTCAGTGACAGTATATACCCTGATGGCAGTTTTTATAGTACTAGGACCCCGTCAGTGACAGTACATACCTCGATGGCAGTTTTTATAGTACTAGGAGCCCATCAGTGACTGTATATACCCCGATGGCAGTTTTTATAGTACTAGGACCCCCGTCAGCGACATATACCCTGATGGCAGTTTTATAGTACTAGGACCCCGTCAGTGACAGTATATACCCTGATGGCAGTTTTTATAGTACTAGGACCCCATCAGTGACAGTATATACCCTGATGGCAGTTTTTATAGTACTAGGACCCCATCAGTGACAGTATATACCCTGATGGCAGTTTTTATAGTACTAGGACCCCATCAGTGACAGTATATACCCTGATGGCAGTTTTTATAGTACTAGGACCCCGACAGTGACAGTACATACCTCGATGGCAGTTTTTATAGTACTAGGAGCCCATCAGTGACAGTATATACCCTGATGGCAGTTTTTATAGTACTAGGAGCCCGACAGTGACAGTACATACCTCGATGGCAGTTTTTATAGTACTAGGAGCCGATCAGTGACAGTATATACCCTGATGGCAGTTTTAAGCGTTGCAAGCTCCTGTGGCATGTTTATAGAGAACTATCCTTTCATGACCTGTTTATACAGCGCACGAGACACGTAAATAGAATGTTCTTCTTCCTAACATGACCCACTTTGAGACGACCCCGAGCTGTTGGTTCAGTGATTCACTGCGCAGCTGAAGGCTTGTGAGGAGGGCAGACAGACTGCGAGCCACCACGTACTACCCCAGCAATGGAGGTCCTGGGTGTTGATCTTACCCTGCCCCTGACTCTACTCGCGGGGTTCCTGGTGTTTGTATACATGTAAGTAATGCATCATTTGATTACAAAGTTGTCACATGATTATCAGTTGTTGTGTATGTTGGAGACAGATCACCGACTGTTGGTCGACTTGGTAAGAATAGTGTCAAGTGGCTGTGTACAATCCAACTGTGTACAGTATCGTACGATTCATGGGCCTCAAGGTGTTCAGAAATCACGTTCAAAGTTTAGTGTTGCTATAGTGGCTTGGGGAGAGAAGTATATTGCAGGTGCAGGTGTACCCGAGGTCGGATTATTGTGACGGGTGTCCAAGGCCGGGTCAGGGGTCTCTCCTCTGCTGACTCCGTCGGGATCTGGCTGGAATATTGCCATGCTATTGATATTCTCAGGTTGTGTAGTGAGATTAAGCTTTGGACGAGTACAGGTGACACAAGAGGCCATGTTGTCGGACCTGTTCAAAGATGATACGGATACAATACGAACTAGAAGCCATGATACAGGCTGAACTATTGAAGGCTGTCTGGTACAGTATATATACTGGACAAAATAAGTTAGGGATATTTGTATGTTTAAGATTGATATTTTATCAGTGTGTCAATGCATAAATAGATCATTATTCATAATTTCAAAAGTTACATATATCCCTAATTACTTTTGTTCAGTATATTAGAAGCCAGGTCAGAGGCCGACCTATTGAAGGCTGTCGGGTACAGAACATACTAGAAGCCAGGTTAGAGGCCGAACTATTGTAGGCTGTTGTTTACAAGTCTATTGTTTACAAACAATGCTTCAGAACGTACCGGCCCAAAACAGTCACACTTCATTGCTTACATTCTTGCAAACAGATGGAGTTAGACATAATATGTTTTATCTCCTTCCAAAGTCAGTCGAAATTCGCGTTTCACTTTTGAGACTTTTAAATCTTGACAGGCTATGGGAAGTACTCATATATAAGTTGTAGGAGTGATATGGGCGCGCATCTGGGCTGTCAACTCAATATCCGGGCTTTATAGAATTGGGGACTCAAGAATATTGTTATATTTAAATGGGTATGATTTTGCCTTTCTGTATATATGAAGCACTTGTGTGTATGGATAAATGGTTCATATAATGCCCACGATAATGCGACGTTATATCCTAACACACGTGATGACTAAAGTCCCTGTCGTGTTTTGATCAGATTTAGAAAGACAAACGTGTGTGTTTTTCCATCACGCCAGTACTGTATAGCGCTACGTCATGCACAGGACAAAGGAAGGCGGGCCAGTATTTACTACGCTCTCATCTGTAGCCAGCGAGTGAGTCAGTGGGCAGGTTATTGTGTTAGTACCTACACCGAAACGTCGCACTCACTGCAATGAAATAGCTGACTATCCATAGAACTTGCTTTTCCTTCACGTTTACAACTTCTAAAATGCTTATCAATGAAAAAAAACCTTTTATTGGGACAGCATTATTTGTAAACAACAGCCGATAACACCAAAGGTTACTTTGCTCTGCTCGTATTTTTCCGCGAGAGAAGTTTCTACCCCAGTATCCACAGTGAAGGTATTTCACTGTTCTAACTTTCCCATTGCTGTTAAAAAGAGTTGTAAGTGTAAACCGACGGGCCAAATACAAGCCTGTCGCTGCTGGTCACATATTGTTTACACTCGGTAGTTAGTTTATGCATGCAACCGTCAACATACTGCCTTTCTAAAGATTTCAATACGACATATATCTCATGAATAGTTCGTCCTATGCCAATGGCGCTTTACTTTTATTGTATATCTGTAATGTACTATAGAGTAAGGATGTATATAGAAATACCTGACAATGTCACCCACAACCCCTCACAAGCTTCATCGATACTTGACTGCATGAATGTTTGGTATTAATGGAAATCGGTTGGTCACTCTGTAAATGAACATATACGAACATATATAAAACGTATGTAGAATCACCAAGAAAACGATATAAATGCAGTTATTTTTATGTTTTATTTTTCTACATATTATTTGTCAAGCTCAAGCAATTTGGTTTTGCTATGTTCCAGTCTCACGATCCCCATTTTGTTTTACCTTTTATCTTGGTACCCTCAAAAACGCAAAAGCTACAATAAATGCATCAAAAACTTCAGGAAACAAAATATGCAAGAAATATTTTGTGTGTTTGAGATTGATAGAAGTCCCCTAGAATCACACTTAGATATTAAAGTTCATAAAAAAGCAATTTGAAATTACAATCGCTTGTTAAAGTGACTCCACCCCACCTTCATGTTGACTGAAAGAGCTTGTTTGGAGACACTACCCATCCCCTTTCAGATGACGTAATCATAAGGGCATAGCTTATTCTAATGTTTTCACTTATGCATACATGATGCCAAGGGTTCAAACTAAATACTGAATGGTCACACAAGTGTCAGCTCACAATATATTGTAAACAGTGCCAGCTTGAATATCTGGACACAATGTTTTTGAAAGATTAAAATGGGGTGTCCTTAAAAATAGCCCCAGACAAAATATAAATCAGGCAATCCAAATCTTTGACTGTTGATCATGACGCGAAGTCATCCAATACTATACTGAACATATTTTATATGACATTATCTGAGGGCGTACCATTATCCAAGAGGTACCAAAAAGACAAACCGTTTTTCATTTTCTGCAATTTTGTTAGAAATATTATACCCCAATGTGTTGTGATGACAAATATCTGGTTAACCACATTACCCACACATGTGAAATTTTGGATATGGGTTTGCTAACGGTTCCTTCAAAATATAATGGAAGCTTTTCAAACATTGGACATCGACAATATAGTTAGGCTACGTACTTTTTGATCGACCCTCGCATATCATAGGCGGATCCAGAAGGGGGAGTGCGCACTCCCATTCTGTCCTGAAAGTTTATTACAAGTGACAATTTATTTCGGTATGGCGGCCACATGGCCGAAAGTACATTTAAAGTACAAAGTTATTGTGCACAGAGGTACATGATAAGGTCGAGTTACAGTACTGTGGAAAATCTATAGTTCATATTGGTAGATTTCTTTTTAGATAAATACTTAAGGATAGTATATGTTCCTCATTAGTTGATGATAATAACTGATAATACTTGAAAAGTGATGGGTCCACATGATAGTAAGATGGAATAATCTTCTGACGACTTTCTGCATAATAAGGACAAATAAGCAGAAAATGATACTCATCTTCAATTTGCTGTAACTGACACTTAGAGCAGACTAATGCATTTCTATCAACATTCTTATTAAACCGATACTGCTGAATATTTAACTTATGTGAAAGACAACAAAATTTACATAACATTCTTCTCAAATCTACTTTGCAAGCAAGGGAAGATATATACATTTCTGGGGTTAACAATGATTTTAACTCTGAATATGCACTGCGGTAATGTGAATTGTTAATCTTATAATGCCAATCCTGGAACTTGATATGTTTACAAAGTTGTTGAAAGTTGATTAAATGTCCATTGAAACTGTCGTGAAAACAGGTGCACACACCACACGCACGCACGCACGCGCGCACGCACACACACACACACCACTTGCTCAGAAGCTGTGTCCGCCCCTGTATATGATCGTGTAGTTGACTGATACCTGTGTTCTTTTGGCAACAAACAGAATATAAAATGTTGGTTTTATAGGCAAACAACACCTTAAACAGATTATTAAAATTTGGACAATCTACGTTCTCTGTTCTCTGCAGATCACCCATATAGCTTACATACATTTTACACTTAGCGGAGTGTCTACTTTCTCAGGATCTCAGTATGGATCCTTGGTTATAACCATATCTGTGTTTTAATGACTTTATCAAAGGTGTAGATAGTGCTAATACCACTCAGCCGTTTAGATTACCTGACAAAGACTATATATGAGGATTACATACATTTTGTAAAAAAAGTAAGAAACGGACAGGCGCTTTGAGCAGTTCATTTCGATATATTTTGACAGCAATCGTCATTAAGACAATTCCTTTGCTTGAATCCCATTAATCACGTCGTGGTTAATCATGACTGTAGCACGATTAAATCCGGGCTGGATGCCTAAATGATATATTCCTCATTTCAATAGGAATTGATTCTGATCGTTCTTGTTTTCTCCAGATATGGTAAATGGCGGTTCCGCTTGATGAGGAACGCGGGTATTCCCGGTCCAGAACCTGACATCTACTTAGGGGATCTTCGGCGTACCATGAGAGATGTAGGCAATTAGAAGCCATAGCTCTTCGGTCTAAATATTAATATGTATATTTCAACATTTGGATATGACGGAACTTATATGCGCATATATAGTTCCCAGACATTTACTCTCCCCACCATTCCGTGGAGTGGTCAGTAAATTTTAAAGGAAAACTGGTGTAACACTGGTCCATGAATTGAAAATTTACCTTTTTATGTGAACATGTATTCCTAGAAGTTAAAAGATGACCAAGTATATTAATGGAAATAATCTCTGTACGAAATGTAGATGTTTGTGTATCAACATCAACTAAGAGGTGAGATAATTATACCGTGTCGAGCTTGAACGGCCACTACATTAAGTAGTCATCTATAGCCTGTGTGTAACCCATTGCTTGTTGTGCTAGTAGGCTTTATCTTAACTAATGTTGCAGGGTTTCGACCTGGAGAACAAACTGGGCAAGCAGTATGGAGACGTATTCGGGTATTGTATAAATCCATAAGCATAAATAACACGATTATACTGTATATTTGCTTCAATCTATACAGTTTCTTTTTTTCTACATTGTGTGTTTTGGCTAGGTGGGATGTCCATGTGGAGGAAGGGTGATTGTGAGAGGGGGTGGCGGGGGCGGGGATAACTTTTTTTGTCAGACATCTGTGTTATCATTTACTACATTTCCTTAATCATTACCCCCGTCTTAAATAGCATAAAATGGGGGATTCAAGCTCATGACTGTGTAGATTCAAAGTCAGTTGAAATGTCATCACGGTTTTTTTCAGATTCTGGTTAGGAGGCCTTCCCATGGTCAACGTGTTTGACCCCGATATCCTAAAGGAGGTCCTGGTAAAGGACTTTAAGACCTTCACTGACAGATTGGTGAGTGGCAGACACTCGGTGGTGAAAACAAACTGAACGGGTTCCTAGCAAATAGGCAATTTTGTCAACGGCATCCTCAGATTGAGATGTTGTCGGCATATACAGCAAATGCATAGATATATCCTAGGAAGCGTTCATAATTTTTGGCTAGGGGAAATCATGATAATTGTAAGGGAAGGTGGGGGCACCCATTTTGTTATGGGCAAGTAAGGGATGGGGTGGGTTTCATCAATTTTTGTACACGTCATGGAGTTTCACTAAGAGGAGGTATGGCAAAATCAGTTGTTATTGCTGTCATGTTCATATGCGGTCGTTTGCCGCTTTAAAGGAGCAATGTTCGTAGAGCTAGGGCTATAGGTACCATGTGGTCTGTTCTATTTCATGGATGATCCTTGGGTAAGACCAAACGAACAAAGCGCATTTGGGAAAATATTTTAGTCACATAAATGCATGTTGGCTTGATGTAGGAAAGTTTTGGACAGACCAAAGTGATGCATGTCTCGGACCTTTGGCTCTTTGATGAAACCCGTGAGCCAGAGTATTTCACGGACAAACATAAACTTAAAATCAGTTTGTATCGGGTTTAGATCCCACTTGGTTAGAGGCAAATAAGGTAACACGGTGTTCACATGACATGTTCAGGCTGCTGCTACCTTTAATTGTATATTTGAATATTTCCAGTCGTTTGAACTCGATGACTTCCCACTTTCCACTAATCTGTTCAATGTGCGAGGGGAAACATGGAGAAGACTACGCAACATCGTCAGTCCAACATTCAGCGGTGTCAAGCTTCGACGGGTATGTCACAACGCCAAGTCTGCGTCATTGGTGTCAGCTGATGACACAAAGTCAAGAACAGTCAGGGGCAGTGGGGTAGCCTAGTGGTTAAAGAGTATTTCTGGGTACAATGGGTGAAGACCATTTCTGGTGTCCCCTGCAGTGATTTTGGTGAAATATTGCCAAAAGCGACATACAACACAACTCACTCACTCACTCACTTAGACATTCAACGAACGTTTACGTAATTATTTATTTCTAAATCGGAAAGTGAAAGGCAACTGGCACTTCAACCGAAACTGATCATTTGCCGTATTTTCAAAACGCCACAAATATGAAAGATGCTATGGCTGAGGTAATCAAAATGCATCGTCCTTCTTTTATTAGGCAACGGTGTCGTACTTTGTCGCTCTGATCACTTCTATTGCAAGAACGTACATTTTTATTTTCTATATGTATTGAAGAAAAATATTCATATGATTTGGTGGTGAATCCATTGATGTTTCAAAGCATGTGTTATATATATATATGCCCGCAAACTGCGCATCATAATCTTCTTTTTCCATGTAGGCTGAGTATACTTTTGATCATATTAGGAAGTCATGTAAAATATGTACTTACAGAAGATGGAAGTGGTCTGTATTTGCAGATGCTTATTGCAGGTATTACCTCGCAAAAACTGGTAATATGGAATGTACCTTTGACAAAACTTGAGCATGTGTCTTTATGAAAGTGAGTGAGTTTGGTGTAACGCCACCTTTGAACAGCATTTGAGTTACATCACGGAATGGAGAGAAGGGAGGAAGGCTACAAGTGTTGAAGGGTATGACAAACCTATATTCATGCGTCTCGATCACAGATTTCAGGTACCCCCTAACTGTACTACTTTGCACAGATACGAGTAATTGCGGGGTCTCGGCAGACTGACCTACCCTTAAACTGCCTTCTAAAAAAACATTAGATCTCGTTCTCCATGTAACGGCTGAAGATCCTCTTGCCATCCTAAGCCCATATACAAGTAGGTAAAAGGGAAGCGTAATTCGCTAGCTTGTGTATGTGTTCGGTTAATAGTATAAATCTGTTTTGTTACAGATGTGTGCGGGACTTAACACATGCGCTGGAAAACTAACCGATAACTTTGCTGCCGCCGCCGAGTCAGGGGAAACCGTAGACGTGAAAACGTAAGATGTTCATCTAGATATGCTGGATGTCCTATGGTCTGTCAACCTGATGTTTGGGATCCATATTTTAGCGGTGTGTTTAGAAGCAGTATGCTTGTATGTCTGTATGTGATGCAAATGAAATATTTTTAATTTGTATCCTTCGGCATAACGAGAAAAAATATCAGTTTTAGTGTTTATCAGAGTGTTAAACTATGGACTATGAAACCAGTTTGTTCTGGAACCCCCATAAGTGGTTCAAAAGGTTCAATCATCACACAACGTCACATTATGAAAATGTAGACAAAAAACAGTCCTCCCCTACTTCCCAAGTATTACAGTCGACCATGACCAACAGGTAATGTACTGCTGTCTGTGCTAAACAATGGAGGTAGGTTGTCATTCGTCTGTCATGTCTCCAAGAATTGGTGGAACCACATTTTTCACAATCCTGACTTTCAGGAACCTGGTCAACTAGTTTCACGCAGGCGATTGGTTAAATTATACCATTGCTGTCATGCGCGTCAGTACTGGATTTGACATTGGGAATATTGTTTCAGTTACTTTGGTGCTTTTTCCATGGACTCCATCGCCAGCACCGCTTTTGGCATCGACACCCAGTCCCAAAATAACCGTGAGAGCGGTTTCATAACAGCAGCCAAGAAAGTATTTGAGACTAATGTTTTCGCAAACCCAGTGCTGTTCATTGCACGTGAGTGTCAATATTTCATTGAAAACAATTCTTGCCTGATTAAATAACGGAAAACGAAGTAATTTTCAAGTTCTAGGATTATAGTTTTTCTCGCACTGTATTCTGTGTTTTAGAAAGAAACACATGTATGTTTTTAGTTGTGAGACTGATGTTTTGGTTGCTTCCCTTAAATTCAAGGATTCGTCAACCCTTGATTTACTACGATAACCCAATAATTTAAACTGATCCTCAGTAAGCAAAATGGTCAATTTCGTCAACCACGGAAAGTATTCTACAGTCTTGTTCAGCTATTTTTACCAAACTGAAAACCTAGTTGATGAAACTGACACAGTTTTCACCTAATTTCAGTGATCTTTCCGAGTGTGCAACCACTGCTAGCAAAACTAGGGTTTTCATCGATACCTCGGGCATCTAAGAATTTTTTTGAGAACACTGCGAAAGACATAATCAAGCAAAGGCGGGCAGAACCGGAGGAAGATCGACGTGTAGGTATATTTGATCTTTCGGGTCTCCGAGATGAATATAATATTCAGCCAGTGATGGGGACAGTGCATGGGAGTCTCGTTCATCCCTTCATGCGCGTCACTAATTAGATTACTTTAAAAGAGTCATAGTGTGGATGTCTGGCACACATAAACATCTAGCCAGGATCAAATTAGAGTAAGTCTGTTCACACACTATCGGGTAGTTACAACTTGATGATGGTGATTTAGATATTATGCCAAGCACACAGGGCACAAGGGCAGCCAGACCTTCCCGAACAATGTAGAGTTTTCATTAGCGTTTGAACACGTGGCATGTACAAAGCAGACACGTGTGATATTAGCTTTGTGTTGTTAGAAATAAACTACAAAGAAATCATTTTGCAATGCTTTTGATAGTTCAAAATCGAGTTCATGCGTGTTTAAATCAAACTCAGTGAAACACTGATGCATTAGTTGTTCCCCGAACAGTGGAAGACTATGCTTTCCGAAATCCTTCTCTGCTCCCTGAGGAGTATACAACACAAACTGCCTAAGCACGCTAGTTGTTTTATATATTTGAAAATAAGGAATGCTTCCTGTCTATATTTGCATACACTGACAAATGTCACCGTTTCGTGTAATGTTTTCAGCAAATTAAAGAACCAGTTGCTTAAATACAAATATATACACAGAAATTCTGCTCGGATCCGTCTTTAATTATCGAAAGCAGTGTCATTTTCCATCTAATGTAATATACCCGTGTCTGTTACTTACAGTCAGCTTAACAGCTGTTTGTCTTCCTCTTACAGCGGAGGGGTGACTTCCTCCAGCTGATGCTGAATGCTGAGAGTGACGTCACAGAAAACGGGAACAATGACAAATCACATAAGAGTATGTTCATGACGTACAGTCAGTACATATTTAGTATGTAAGGATTGGTTTAAATGGTACAGACGTGTAACGAAGACCCTCGATTGTTAAAAAAGGTTTGCGAACGAAACAGAAGGATGTTATTTACTGACAGCTAATTCGGATCCAAGTAACAAGACATCTATCAATTGGCCATTAGCCATTGGACAGAGGGTTAGGGACCGTTCACAATTTATGTGGTGTGTGTGTGTGTGTGTGTGTGTGTGTGTGTGTGTGTGTGTGTGTGTGTGTGTGTGTGTGTGTGTGTGTGTGTGTGTGTGTGTGTGTGTGTGTGAGATGTTGATTTTAAGGGGGGTCACCCATTTTGTTCTGGGGAGGTAGAGGGGTCATCAATTTTATACACGTTTCTAGAGGGTCATCAATAAAAATTTTAACTTTGTACATGAGATGCAGGAGGGTCACTTATTTTGTACATAAATAGGGGGTCATTCACATTGTACATGATTCTGTACACACACACATGCAGGAGGGGTCACTATACTTATGTACATAAATTTGAAGCATGGGACTCAACTCAACAAAGTACTAGAATCTGTACTTTACTGAGAAAGTGATTGTGTAATCTCAAATATAACATATGTTATAAATGAAATCAAACAAGTGAGCGGAATCCAGGTCATGTATATTTGTATTCATTTTACCCGTGAAAGGTTCAAAGTGCAGAAAGAAAGACAAGTCGTTTTGTTTCGGTGTAATTCTTCTCACAATATGCGCATGCTTTATAACTTCACATGCTTCAAGTTCATTCTCTAAAGGCCACAGGGGGCCCCAGCGTATTTTACTGACTTGACAGTGGTAGCATTGGTTCTATCTCCGTGACATGTATGGAGAAATAGTTCAAACATTTACTGCTGCCTACTCAGAATGGCATTTTGAACTATATTTCCGTACTCTACTCATTTCTTAATTTTATGTCAGAAATGTCAACCGATGAAATGATTGGCCAAGCATTCATGTTCTTTCTCGCTGGATACGAAACTACGGCGAGCACTCTCCAGTACGTGGCGTACATTTTGGCAACTCACCCCGACGTTCAACAGAAGATGTCAGAAGAGATAGATTCAGTCCTCGGAGATGTAAGTCCCACTTCTGTGTGTTGTTCGATCATTTGTCTCCCTGTGATGTAAGTCTCACCTCTGTGTGTTGTGTCATCATTTGTCTCTCGGAGATGTAAGTCTCACCTCTGTGTGTTGTGTCATCATTTGTCTCTCGGAGATAAAAGTCTCACCTCTGTGTGTTGTGTCATCATTTGTCTCTCGGAGATGTAAGTCTCACCTCTGTGTGTGTTGTGTCATCATTTGTCTCTCGGAGATGAAAGTCTCACCTCTGTGTGTTGTGTCATCATTTGTCTCTCGGAGATGAAAGTCTCACCTCTGTGTGTTGTGTCATCATTTGTCTCTCGGAGATGTAAGTCTCACCTCTGTGTGTTGTGTCATCATTTGTCTCTCGGAGATGTAAGTCTCACCTCTGTGTGTTGTGTCATCATTTGTCTCTCGGAGATGTAAGTCTCACCTCTGTGTGTTGTGTCATCATTTGTCTCTCGGAGATGTAAGTCTCACCTCTGTGTGTTGTGTCATCATTTGTCTCGGAGATGTAAGTCTCACCTCTGTGTGTTGTGTCATCATTTGTCTCTCTTTTGAGATGTAAGTCTCACCTCTGTGTGTTGTGTCATCATTTGTCTCTCGGAGATGTAAGTCTCACCTCTGTGTGTTGTGTCATCATTTGTCTCTCGGAGATGTAAGTCTCACCTCTGTGTGTTGTGTCATCATTTGTCTCTCGGAGATGTAAGTCTCACTTCTGTGTGTTGTGTCATCATTTGTCTCTCGGAGATGTAAGTCCCACCTCTGTGTGTTGTGTCATCATTTGTCTCTCGGAGATGTAAGTCTCACCTCTGTGTGTTGTGTCATCATTTGTCTCTCGGAGATGTAAGTCTCACCTCTGTGTGTTGTGTCATCATTTGTCTCTCGGAGATGTAAGTCTCACCTCTGTGTGTTGTGTCATCATTTGTCTCTCGGAGATGTAAGTCTCACCTCTGTGTGTTGTGTCATCATTTGTCTCTCGGAGATGTAAGTCTCACCTCTGTGTGTTGTGTCATCATTTGTCTCGGAGATGTAAGTCTCACCTCTGTGTGTTGTGTCATCATTTGTCTCTCGAGAGATGAAAGTCTCACCTCTGTGTGTTGTGTCATCATTTGTCTCTCGGAGATGTAAGTCTCACCTCTGTGTGTTGTGTCATCATTTGTCTCTCGGAGATGTAAGTCTCACCTCTGTGTGTTGTGTCATCATTTGTCTCTCGGAGATGTAAGTCTCACCTCTGTGTGTTGTGTCATCATTTGTCTCTCGGAGATGTAAGTCTCACCTCTGTGTGTTGTGTCATCATTTGTCTCTCGGAGATGTAAGTCTCACCTCTGTGTGTTGTGTCATCATTTGTCTTTCGGAGATGTAAGTCTCACCTCTGTGTGTTGTGTCATCATTTGTCTTTCGAAGATGTAAGTCTCACCTCTGTGTGTTGTGTCATCATTTGTCTCTCGGAGATGTAAGTCTCACCTCTGTGTGTTGTGTCATCATTTGTCTCTCGGAGATGTAAGTCTCACCTCTGTGTGTTGTGTCATCATTTGTCTCTCGGAGATGTAAGTCTCTCCTCTGTGTGTTGTGTCATCATTTGTCTCTCGGAGATGTAAGTCTCACCTCTGTGTGTTGTGTCATCATTTGTCTCTCGGAGATGTAAGTCTCACCTCTGTGTGTTGTGTCATCATTTGTCTCTCGGAGATGTAAGTCTCACCCCTGTGTGTTGTGTCATCATTTGTCTTTCGAAGATGTAAGTCTCACCTCTGTGTGTTGTGTCATCATTTGTCTCTCGGAGATGTAAGTCTCACCTCTGTGTGTTGTGTCATCATTTGTCTCTCGGAGATGTAAGTCTCACCTCTGTGTGTTGTGTCATCATTTGTCTCTCGGAGATGTAAGTCTCACCTCTGTGTGTTGTGTCATCATTTGTCTCTCGGAGATGTAAGTCTCACCTCTGTGTGTTGTGTCATCATTTGTCTCTGGAGATGTAAGTCTCACCTCTGTGTGTGTTGTGTCATCATTTGTCTCTCGGAGATGTAAGTCTCACCTCTGTGTGTTGTGTCATCATTTGTCTCTCGGAGATGTAAGTCTCACCTCTGTGTGTTGTGTCATCATTTGTCTCTCGGAGATGTAAGTCTCACCTCTGTGTGTTGTGTCATCATTTGTCTCTCGGAGATGTAAGTCTCACCTCTGTGTGTTGTGTCATCATTTGTCTCTCGGAGATGTAAGTCTCACCTCTGTGTGTTGTGTCATCATTTGTCTCTCGGAGATGTAAGTCTCATCTCTGTGTGTTGTGTCATCATTTGTCTCTCGGAGATGTAAGTCTCACCTCTGTGTGTTGTGTCATCATTTGTCTCTCGGAGATGTAAGTCTCACCTCTGTGTGTTGTGTCATCATTTGTCTCTCGGAGATGAAAGTCTCACCTCTGTGTGTTGTGTCATCATTTGTCTCTCGGAGATGTAAGTCTCACCTCTGTGTGTTGTGTCATCATTTGTCTCTCGGAGATGTAAGTCTCACCTCTGTGTGTTGTGTCATCATTTGTCTCTCGGAGATGTAAGTCCCACCTCTGTGTGTTGTGTCATCATTTGTCTCTCGGAGATGTAAGTCTCACCTCTGTGTGTTGTGTCATCATTTGTCTCTCGGAGATGTAAGTCTCACCTCTGTGTGTTGTGTCATCATTTGTCTCTCGGAGATGTAAGTCTCACCCCTGTGTGTTGTGTCATCATTTGTCTCGGAGATGTAAGTCTCACCTCTCTGTGTGTTGTGTCATCATTTGTCTCTCGGAGATGTAAGTCTCACCTCTGTGTGTTGTGTCATCATTTGTCTCTCGGAGATGTAAGTCTCACCTCTGTGTGTTGTGTCATCATTTGTCTCTCGGAGATGTAAGTCTCACCTCTGTGTGTTGTGTCATCATTTGTCTCGGAGATGTAAGTCTCACCTCTGTGTGTTGTGTCATCATTTGTCTCTCGGAGATGTAAGTCTCACCTCTGTGTGTTGTGTCATCATTTGTCTCTCGGAGATGTAAGTCTCACCTCTGTGTGTTGTGTCATCATTTGTCTCTCGGAGATGTAAGTCTCACCTCTGTGTGTTGTGTCATCATTTGTCTCTCGGAGATGTAAGTCTCACCTCTGTGTGTTGTGTCATCATTTGTCTCCCTGTGATGTAAGTCTCACCTCTGTGTGTTGTGTCATCATTTGTCTCTCGGAGATGTAAGTCTCACCTCTGTGTGTTGTGTCATCATTTGTCTCTCGGAGATGTAAGTCTCACCTCTGTGTGTTGTGTCATCATTTGTCTCTCGGAGATGTAAGTCTCACCTCTGTGTGTTGTGTCATCATTTGTCTCTCGAAGATGTAAGTCTCACCTCTGTGTGTTGTGTCATCATTTGTCTCTCGGAGATGTAAGTCTCACCTCTGTGTGTTGTGTCATCATTTGTCTCGGAGATGTAAGTCTCACCTCTGTGTGTTGTGTCATCATTTGTCTCTCGGAGATGTAAGTCTCACCTCTGTGTGTTGTGTCATCTTTTGTCTCTCGGAGATGTAAGTCTCACCTCTGTGTGTCTCCCTGTGATGTAAGTCTCACCTCTGTGTGTTGTGTCATCATTTGTCTCGGAGATGTAAGTCTCACCTCTGTGTGTTGTCATCATTTGTCTCTCGGAGATGTAAGTCTCACCTCTGTGTGTTGTCTCTCATTGGAGATGTAAGTCTCACCTCTGTGTGTTGTGTCATCATTTGTCTCTCGAGATGTAAGTCTCACCTCTGTGTGTTGTGTCATCATTTGTCTCTCGGAGATGTAAGTCTCACCTCTGTGTGTTGTGTCATCATTTGTCTCTCGGAGATGTAAGTCTCACCTCTGTGTGTTGTGTCATCATTTGTCTCTCGGAGATGTAAGTCTCACCTCTGTGTGTTGTGTCATCATTTGTCTCGGAGATGTAAGTCTCACCACTGTGTGTGTGTCATCATCATTTGTCTCTCGGAGATGTAAGTCTCATCTCATTGTGTCTCTTGTAAGTCTCGGAGATGTAAGTCTCACCTCTGTGTGTTGTGTCATCATTTGTCTCTCGGAGATGTAAGTCTCCATCTCTGTGTGTTGTGTCATCATTTGTCTCGAGGAGATGTGTTGTGTCATCATTTGTCTCTGAGATGAAAGTCTCATCCTCTGTGTGTTGTGTCATCATTTGTCTCCCTCGGAGATGTAAGTCTCACCTCTGTGTGTTGGCCCCAGTCATCATTTGTCTCTGAGATGTAAGTCCCCACCTCTGTGTGTTGTTCCATCATTTGTCTCCGGAGATGTAAGTCTCACTCCTCTGTGTGTTGTGTCATCATTTGTCTCTCTCGGAGATGTAAGTCTCACTCTCTGTGTGTTGTCCTGTCATCCTAAAGTTTGTCATCCCTGTCTCGAGATGTAAGTCTCACCTCTGTGTGTTGTGTCATCATTTGTCTCTCGGAGATGTAAGTCTCACCTCTCTGTGTTGTGTCATCATTTGTCTCTCGAGATGTAAGTCTCACCTCTGTGTGTTGTGTCATCATTTGTCTCTCGGAGATGTAAGTCTCATCTCTGTGTGTTGTGTCATCATTTGTCTCTCGGAGATGTAAGTCTCACATCTGTGTGTGTTGAGTCATCATTTGTCTCTTGAGATGTAAGTCTCACCCTGTGTGTTGTGTCATCATTTGTCTCTCGGAGATGTAAGTCTCACCTCTGTGTGTTGTGTCATCATTTGTCTCTCGAAGATGTAAGTCTCACCTCTGTGTGTTGTGTCATCATTTGTCTCTCGGAGATGTAAGTCTCACCTCTGTGTGTTGTGTCATCATTTGTCTCTCGGAGATGTAAGTCTCACCTCTGTGTGTTGTGTCATCATTTGTCTCTCGGAGATGTAAGTCTCACCTCTGTGTGTGTTGTGTCATCATTTGTCTCTCTCGGAGATGTAAGTCTCACCTCTGTGTGTTGTGTCATCATTTGTCTCGGAGATGTAAGTCTCACCTCTGTGTGTTGTGTCATCATTTGTCTCTCGGAGA